TATCTGCCCTTCTTAATCCTTCTCTTATGAAAGGCATCACCACCCTGTCACTCAAACCAAATCTCCTCGACCACCCTCCACCTCTACTCATGAACTGTTAACAAGACATCTTCCTGTATTGCTCTGGAATTAATCTCTTCTTCATTAGAGTTCCCTTTTGCAATTTCATTTCTTCATAGGTGGGGTATATGAGATTTTAACTTTTCTATTCCAGTTTTTTCTTCTTCAGTCAGTGGCGACAGCTCCACATCTGTTTGCTTCTGAAGTTCTTGTATCATGGTCATAGTCTTATTCAAAGTAGTGCAAATGCGGCTCTTAGTCTCTTTCTGCTCAATAGCAACAGGTTTAAAACGTGCACACAAAGATTGGTATCGAGACTTTATTGCTGACAATTCCTTTAAGAGTGTAACTGGATTTTTCTCTCCTGCTGAATCAGGATGATTAGTCTTGATTTCATATTCCAGCCTATACTGAATGTAATCCAGATCAGAGTCAGCTTTCTGGAACTGTACGTAATATATCTTGATTCTTCTTTTTTCCCCAATCTTCAAGTATTTGCTTGTTTTTGAAGTAAATGGTCTAGGCCAGTGATGGCTAACCCTTTAGAGCTTTCACTGTTAACAAATGGCTGGCCGTGGCACCCAGGCCATAGGTTTGCCACCACTAGCCATCAGTTCCAGCTTATCGACCTCCGCCTCCATGTTGAATAGTTGACCGAGATGGAATTTCAAGGTTGTTTTAATTTGCATGTCTTTTTTTTTTTTTTTTTTTTTTTTTTGGTACTAGGAAATGAACTCAGGATCTTGCTCTTACCAGACAGGTACATGTACCGCTGAGCTATATGCCCAGCCCTAATTTGCATGTCTTGAATGATCAGTGATGTTCAACGTTTTTTCATATATTTACTTGTTGTTTGTATTTCTTCATCTGAGAAGGGTGTATTCATTTTAGATGCCCATTTTTGTATCTTTAAATTTGGGAGATCTAATTTTTTTGAGTTCTTTATACTTTCTCGATAGTAACCCTTTGTCTGAGGAACATTCAGCAAATATTTTTGCCCACATGTGAGATTTCTTTTTACTTTGTAGGTGCTTTCTCTTGATGTGCAAAAGCTTTTTATTTTTTTTTTTTTGTTGTTGTTTTGTTTTGTTTTTTTTGTTTTTCTCCGGTACCGGGAACCGAACTCACGACCTTGCGCTTGCCAGGCAGGCGCTTTTTGCCGCTGAGCTAAATCCCCAGCCTGCAAAAGCTTTTTAATAAGATGAGATCCTGGATGTTAATTCTTTGTGATAATTCCTGTGTGATTAGGGTTTTATTCATAAAGTATTTGCCTACACCAATGTCTCCAAGAGTTTCACCTGTTCTATCTTCCAGCAGATTTAATGTCTCTATTTTAATATTTAGATCTTTGATCCATTTTGAATTTATTTTAGTGTATGCTGAAAGATATGGGTCTTGTTTAAATCTTCAGCATCTGGACAGCCTGTTTTTCCAGGACCATTTATTAAAGAGGCTATCCTTCCTGCAGTGAATTGTTTGGCACCTTTGTCAAAGATAAGGTGGCTGAGTATGTCTGGAGTTGTTTCTGCATCTTCTAATCTGTTCCACTTATTTTCAGGTTTATTTGGGGGGGGTGCTTGTTTGTTTGTTTGGGGGTTTTTTGCCAGTACCACATTGTTTTAATCACCATAGCTTTATAGTACGATTTCAAGTCAGGGATTGTGATGCCCCCTGCCTTGCCTTTGTTGCCCAGAACCTTTGCTACTCTAGATCTCTTCTGGTTCCAAATGAATTATAAGATTTTTTTCTCTAATTCAGTGAGATATTCTATTGGAATTTTGATCAGAATTCCACTAAATCTGTGTAACAGCTTTGGAAGTATGGCCATTTTCCTACCCAAAAGCAAGGGATGTCGTTCCATTTTCTGATACCACTTCACTCCCCTTTTTCAGAGTACTGTAAAAACTGGATTATTTGGTTTTGTGCCACTGAATTGTTTGAGTTTCTTTATTTTTTAACATTTTTTGGTACCAGGAATCAAATGCAAAACCTCACATTTGCCAGGCAGTTGCTGTGCTGCTGAGCTATATCCCTGGCTCTGTTTGAGTTTCTTATATGCGGAAGATCATGTGGTAAAAAAATATCCAATTTTTCCAGCACTGTTCATTGAGGAGACTGTCCTTTCCCCAACACGTGTTCTTAGCAAGTTTATTGAAGATCAGTTGGCTACAGATGCACAGATTTGTCTTTTGGTGTCTATTCTGTCTCATGGGTCTGTACATCTGTTTCTATGCCAATAGCATACTATTTTGAGTACTATAGATGTATGGTACATTCTTTAAGTCAGGCACTGTACTACCTCTTGTTTTTTGTTTTTTTTTTTCTTCTTCTTCTTCCTCAAGATTGCTTGGCTATTCGGGGTTTTTCCACATAGATTCTAGAACTTTTTTCTACTTCTTTGAAAATATCATTGGTATTTTTGTGGAGATTACATGGAATTTATAGATTGTTTGGTGTAGTATGGACATTTTACCAATATTGGTTCTTCCAGTCAATGAATATGAGCTCACTTTCCATTTCTGAGTGTGTGTACATGTGTCCTCTTCCATTTCTGTTCAACTTCTTTCATCAGTATATTATAGCTTGTATTGTAGAGATATCCTCTTTGATTAAATTTATTTTCTGTAGCTATTGTACAGAAGTGGATAGATTTCTTTTTCAGATAGCTGACACTTGGACTCTAGAAATGTTACTCATTTTTGTATGTTGATATTTATATCCTGCAAATTTGCTGAATTCATTTATTAGTCCTGATATTTTTGGTGGGGACTCTGGGATTTTCATGCATACGATCATGTCATCTGCAAAAGGTAACAGTTTTATTTCTTCCTTTTCATTTTGGATGCTCTTTATTTCTTTCTCTACTTGACTCTGGCTAAGAGCACTTTCAGCACTATGTCCAGTGAAAGTGGCAAAAGGGAGTATCCTTGTCAAAGCTATCAGTCTTTCTGCATTCAGTGTGATATTAGCTGTGGGCTTGTTTTATACGGCCCTTATCATGTTCAGTTATGCAATTTCTATACTCACAATGTTTAGGGCTTTGGTCTTTGTACTGGGAACCGAACTCATGACCTTGCCCTTGCCAGGAAGGTGCTGTCATGCTGAAATATATCCCATGCCCCATTTTTAGGGTTTTTATCAGGAAGATATACTGCATTTTATCAAATGCTTTTTCTGCATCTGTTGAAAAGACCACATGATCTTCAGCCTTCATTTGTTGATGTGGTATACCATTAATTTGCCTCTTACCTGCCTGGACTGTTACATCCATACATACCTGGCATGGATCCCACTTGATCATAGTGAACAATTTTTTGATATGCTACTACATGAAATTTGCTAGCACCCCATAAAGGCTTTTTCCACCTATCTTCATTAAAGGTATTCACTCACAGCTTCTGTGGTTTTATTTGTTTTTATGTTGTTTTGTTTCGTTTTGTTTGCTGATCTTCTCTGGTTTTGATATCGGGGTAATGCTGACCTCATAAAATGACTTTAGAAGTACTCTCTCCTCTTTTTTGGGGTGGGGGGATAATATGAGAATAAGAATTAACTCTTTTAAGGTTTGGTAGAATTCAAGAGTGAAGGTGTCCACTCCCTAGCTTTCCTTGAACAGGAGACTTTTTATTATTGATTCAATATTCTCACTCATTGTTAATTTGTTTAAAGTTTTTTTTTCTCATTATTCAATATTGGCTAAGATATATGTGTCCAGGATTTTTTTCTGTTTCTTCTAAATTATCAATGTTTGTAGCATATGGCTGTCATAGTCTCTGATGATCCTTTGTATTTCTGTGGTGTTAGTTGTAATGTCTCTTATTCATCTCTTTTATTTATTTGTTCTTTCTTTTTTCTTAGTGAAAGTGCCAATTTTGTTTATATTTTTGAAAAAACAAACTTTTTCTGATTTTTTATAGTGTTTCTTTTATTTATGCTCTAATCTTTGTTATTATTTCCTTCTGCTAATTTGGGGTTCTTTCCTTTTGCTAATGTGATTTGATCTTATTTTCTAGCTATCTAAGGTGCAATGAAGTTGTTTATTTATTTCTGCTCTTTTGATGTAGACAATGATTTCCATAATCTTCTTTCTTACTAACACTTTTACTATACTCCATAGGCTTGCTATGTTTCTGTTATCATTTGTTTCAAGGAAGTTTTATTTATTTTAAAATAAATTTTAATTTTCTTCCTAATTTCTTCACTGAGTCATTGGTTGTTCTGGAATGCACTGTTTAATTTCTATGTACTTGTATCATTTCCAAAGTTTTTCTCAGTATTGATTTCTAGCTTTATTGCATTGTGGATAGAAAAGATATTCAGTATGATTTCATTTAAAGCTTTCTTTGAGATTTATTTTGTGGCCTTTCATAGAATCCATCCTGGAGAATGTTCCCTGTGCTACTGAGAAGAATATGTTCTCTGCAGCTGCTGGGTGCAATGTTCTATAGGTGTTATTAAGTCCTTTTGTCCAGGTGCGATTTAACTCTGATGTTTCTTCATTAGTCTTCTGTCTGGATTATCTGGCCATTCTTGAAAGTGGGTCTTAAAGTTCCTTACTATTATAATATTGCAGTCAATTTCTTGCTTTAGTTATATTAATATTTGACTTATGTATTTATATTTACAACTCATATTTCTTCTTGCTGACTTGATTCTTTATTACTATACAATGACCTCCCTTGTCTCTTTTTACTGTTTTTGATTAAAGTCTATTTTATCTGATATAAATGTGGCTACTTCTACTTTCTTTTGCGTTCCATTTGCACTGAATATCTTTTCCTATCTCTTTACTCTCAGTGTATATGACTCCTAGAGATTAAATGAATTTCTTATGAGCACTGTATAGTTAATTCTTGGGGGGATTACCTAGGAATTGAATCAAGGGCCTTTGTACTAAGCTACATCCCTATCCCTATTCCTTTTTATTTTATTTTTTTGAGACAAGTTCTCAATGAATTTCTAAGTTTCACAGGCTGGGCTTAAACTTGTGACACCCCGCCCCCTACCGCTGCCGCTTCAGTCCCCCAGAGTGCTGGAATTACAAGTATGCACCATCAACCTTGGCTACCACAGGACTTTCAGCTGAAAATTTTAATCCACTTTCATTTAAGGTAATTTATAAATAAGTACTACGTTACCATTTTGTTACTTTTTCCTAGTGTTATGGTGATTCTTTTCTCCCTCTCTTACAGTATTTCTTTGTATGTGACTTGATTTCTTGCCTATTATTTTGAGTGTCCACTATAGGCTTTTGATTTATGGTTACCATAAGGACTTTAAAAAGACTTTTGATGAGAACAAGCTATTTTAAAATGATAACAATTTAATATTGATCATTAAAGACAGCAAAAGAATGCCAGGTGCAGTGGTGCATGTCTGTAAACCCAACACTTTGGGAGGCTGAGGCAAGAGAATAGCAAGTTTGAGTACAACCTGGGCAACTCAGGGACTTAGCGAGACCTTGTCTGAAATTTTTTAAAAAGAAGGAGGAGGCTGGTGATGTAGCTCAGTGTGAAAGTCCCAGTACCACCCTACACCCAAGAAAAAAAGTTAGGAAAAGAATAATAAAAGAAAAATGCAAAAACTCTACCCTTCTACCATTGTACTCCATTATTCTTCATATTTTAAATTCTTTATGTCACATTTTAC